TATATATATTATGTTTATGAACTTGTACTTTTTGCATATAGAATCTGTAAATTTTATCCATTTGAGTGTTGAGGTGTGCTTTCCAACGAACCTGGATCACTACATTGAATTGTGATATTTATGTATATATATATATATATATTCAAAAGAATATATATATATATTCAAAAGAAAATAAGTAAAATGGTTTTTCCCTTTTTATTTTGAGCTGATAAAAAATGTTATATAAATATCAAAAATAATTTATTCATTTTCTATTTAAATAGCTACAATGAGATAAAATGATTATCTCCATGAGAACATTCTAAAAATAATTATGAAATTTAAATATCATCTCTTATTGGAACAAAAAATATTTATGAATAATATTAAAGATTGTATATGAGCAAAATAAAATATTTTCTAAATAGCTTTTGAAATCTGTTTATATATTGAACCAAACAAATGTTGATTGAAAATTTTTTTTTTAATGTTAAGACTACAGTTGTCAGAAGAACTAATTTGAGTTTTTTTTAATTATTGCATATAAATTTTTATTGGTGAAATTATTAAGTTATCTTCAGTTATTTATTATGTATTAAACTTAACTTCAGTTCATTAAAATATATTAAATCTATGTTTCACACTGTGCTGAATATAAAAAAATCATATTTGTAGTTTATTGTATGTAGATATTTTAAATCATATAGTTGGCATAATTTATATCTTGCTTATTATTTTTTTGGCTAATATGTATTCAAAGCATGTGAGAAAATATCATTTTATATATTCTAGTATTATTATATGATACAATAGTTAAATGAACAAAATCTAGTTGCAAAATGAGCAGGATTTCCTTTCTTCTCATATCTTGAATACAAGGTAAATTACATATTCTTCATAGAATTTTGTCTTTTCTTGAAAATATTTTGATATTTCAATTTTTCTATCCTGTTGACACAATCCTATTGACCTATATTTCTTGAAGTAAGTTTATACAAAATTCATCTTTATGTACTAAGTGAATGATTGATGATTTTTAATTATTAAGCTTCTCTTTCAGATTCCAATTAGCAGTCATTGATTATTAATTATCTTGATAGTTAAAATTAAATGAAAATATTACAAATTTTGGTTGAAACAGTTACATTGGTAACAAATATAATTTAGTAATTCTAAAAACAAAGGAATTCTAGAAAATATTGCAACATTCAGTTTTAATATTTGTTTTTTTTTTTTACTCTATACCACCACCTTGCTATAGCTTAATTTTTTCATATATAAAACCTTGAGTGTCACTTGTTTTGATATTAAAGTTGGGCTTCTGAACAAAAATAATACAATAATAATAATGTGCAAAAATTTTCTCTTAACTGATGATGAAAGTTTGAGATTTGAGTCTATAATTTTTAATTTGTTTACTATTATGTAACTAGTTATCATGTTTTAACTGTTATTAATTTACCATGCAAATGATATCGTTAATAAAGAACAATTAACTTAAAAGCATAAAATATATAAATATATAAAAAGTTGGAAAAACAATCCTTTTTAAAAAAAGGAATATATAAACATAGATCATGTGATCAAAAAATTATGTTAAGCAATTTGATTTTAAAACATATATATTTTTCTTATAAAAAATTATATATTAATTTTTAAAATCCAATTGTTTTTGTGAGTTTATGCACACACATAGAATGAGTATCAATCACACTCTAAATGAAGTATAAAATACCATTCTAATTGAAAAATTCACTCACCCATTGCATGTTAAAATTATACTGTATACAGTCAGGTTATATAATAATTTTAATACTGTACTTTATTATGAAATATTTAAATAAATTGGAATAATACCTTCAAAGATTTTTAAAATTTTACACAACAGTGATGAAATATCAAAATTGGATGAAACAGATTCAGAAATGTTTTTACTGGGTGCTAAATATGATTAAACAATTCATGTTATAGGCCATTGTTAGATATTTGGCTGAAAGTGTACAACCAACTGAATTTCAGCTGTTTAGCATTTAGCCAATCTTTCCCCCTATATAACAGTCTGAATTTAAATATCAGATTCTTAAATGTTTTAATTATTTGTAATTATAGTTATAAGATGGTAGAATATTTTTTAATCTTATGGGAACTAAATTTTATACAGAATTGAAATTTTTAGTTTTTTTTATTGATAAGAATTTAGATCTAATATATTTCAGTTTTCTTTTGAATTGCATATACTGTATTTTAAACTGAATTAACTTCACATTAAAGTATATGAATAAAAAAATTTTTAAATTTAATTTCAAACTCAAATTATGGTAATTTATTAATAATTTTTAATATAAACTTTAAAATTGCTCATTTAAAAGTATAGTACATTGATACATATTTCTTTCTTAGGTATGAATTGTCACAAGATTTGTTGGATAAGCAGGTAGAAATGTTAGAAAGAAAATATGGCGGAGTCAGAGCGAGAGATGCTGCCCTTACCATCCAACGTGCCTTTCGCAAATATTGTATGATGAAACGATTTCGCGATATAGCAAATGCTTCCAAAGGTGAAAAAAGGTTATCCAGACGTTTTTATAATTTAGAAGCAGAAGGAAAAGATTGGATACATTATAATGGTTCCTCTAATCATCATTGTCAACAGAAAAATTTAGTTTATAATGAAGAAACAATGGTTTCTAATGTATCTGGTAGTACACATTCCAATCCATGTGTTGATACAAGGGTCAAAAACAATTTCTCAACTTTATATAGAGAGTTAAGTGAATCTGTGAGTGATAATAAATATCCATCAAAACAAAATCGAGTTGTGGGTAATAGAGAACAGCAGATGTCAGAAATTGATAGGACTAGAATGGATAAAATAACAAAAACCAAAGATATTTTATCTCATGGAGCACCTCCTTGTCCAGGAAGGATGGAAAGTGATGTTCTACATTTAACAAAAACTACTGATGTATGTACAAAATCTGAGCTGCAAGAGGCTGGTACTCCTTTAGAAAGCAGCATGTATCATACACCACCTTCACGACTACCCCCCTCTGTTCCTCGCCATCCGGCGTGGTCTGCTGTATCACCGTGTACAAGTGCCGGAATTAGACAGAGTTCAGGTCCTACAATTTATTTAAGTCCTAGTCAAAACAGTTCCTCTGCAGAAGACCAATATCACACTCCCCGTGAATCGTTATCATCAGAAGATAGTGCAATAAGTTCGGTAAGATTATTTTTAATTTGAACTGTGAATCTTAATACTTTAAATGATTACTTAAATTATTTTTTTAAATATAGTAAGTTGCAAAATTATTTTAAAAGTTAATATTTTAATATTTGTTTTCATATATGAAAAGAAATTTTAAGTTTAAAATCAATGATTTTCTTGAATTTTCAGATATATTAATATTCTATAAACCATATCAAGTATTTTGCATGATATTAATGTAAAATCAAGATATATGCTCATACAAAAGTCTTTAATCCTGCAATAGACTTGACATTAAATCAATTCTTTGATTTTATATCATAATTAAGAAGACTTCAAAGTGCATTAATCTACTTTATTTTTTATTTATTTATTTTATCTTCTTTAAAGCCAATAACAATAATAGTAATGAAATGCACTTGTTTCACAAAATACTGAGTACTAGCTTGACAGCAAAGGAAAAATTACAGCCCAAATAGGTTAATGAGTCAGAATGACAAGTTATAATAATGAAGTACCATCTTGACAAATCTTATGGTAAAATATCTTGGAAATACTTGAATAGTTTTCTCTGCAAAAGATTGGATGCTTAGATACAAATTAGATATTTAATACATGTGATGATAATGACTATACTTTTAACTAAAATTTTAACAAACAGAATAAGGTTACTTTCTATTTAATGATTGGAGAACAATTATGCAACTGTCATTATCCCAGAAGACTTAAAATTTATCCAGTATAAATTATTCTGCATATCATATGTCAAATGTACTTATGTCTGAAAATAAATAGGGTGTAAAGTGATTTTAGAATAATAAAGACATTTTCAGAATTCAGTTTCTCTCTCTCTCTCTCTGAAATGCTTTGTTTCACTTAGCAAATATAATGATCTTTACAGTGATTCTTGTTATGGATCATTTAATTTCAATAATCTTTTCCATAGCTAAGATTTCAAAACAGTCAAAAGAAAATTTGTCATAAGATTGAAGGAAAGATTTAAATGCTTTGTTGTTAGAAAAATTTATGAAGGTAGGAAAAAGTAAATGATACAATTAAATTAGAAATCTTTCTAAAAAAATCTGATACACTGTAGCATTGAAAATATTTATCAGTTAAGTTTTTTCAGAAACTATGCCTATTATCATTAAAGAAATGTTAACTATAAAATTGAGAAGTGATGCATATCGAGAATGAAGATTGCAGTTTCTTTATATTAAATATTATTTAAAATAATTAACTGTTTTTTTATTATAATATATTTTTTGTCATTGCTTTCTTTCTTAATTATGCAAGCTTACCATACATACTCTACCACCATAATAACTAATATTCATGTGAACTAGTGCCAAACATTGTTTTATCAATATATGAAGGTCAGTGAATAGTTAGTTTAAAAAGTTGGACATTATTTATACAATAATCATGCTTTTTAGAATAATTTGTCCTTCATTAATAATTTTTTTCTGTTAAGTTTAGTTATATGTGAATAATGTAAGATTAATTCATGCATTTCATGAATGGTTTAGTTATGGGGAACCAATTATAAAACTATAATATAATAAATTGATGTATAATAATTTCCATCTGTTGTAAGATATGATAAAACTAGACAACTTTTTTCTAAAAGAAGAAAAGGATTAAGTAAGGAGAAAGTTTTCTTTTAGAACTAAAAAGCATTTTCAGATGAAATCAAATGTAAAATATTTCAAATAGAATTTGGATTTTCAAATGAAAAGCATGCATTATTTGCAGATTTCAAATATACATTCTATAAAAGTTTCTTGATAAATACCTTATTATATTTAAATATAGACATTTGTACAGTTAAGTATAATTATGAATTATAAAACTTGTTTAAATTGTTTTTGAACATGAATTAATTATTATACGTTGAATGACTATTATTCAACATTTTTGAAAATTTTGATAGTATTTAATTTGTAGTAATATATTGGTGTTCTATCTGGATTCTTTTCTCATTTCTAAGAACAAGTAATTGTTACAAGGTTGAATAAAGGCTTTTACAATTGCGATAAAAGCTGTTTATATATAGAGAACAGAAAAAATAATATTTATGTTCTCTGTTTTTAAAACAAGAAAAGAAACTTTTTTCTTAAATTACACTTCAAGTATTTCATATTATTATATGAGGTGATCATCCTTTGCCTTCTTTTTTTTATGATAAGTAGTTTTTATTATTGGTATATTAGATAATATATTCAATAAATGTTAGTAAACTTTTTGTTACTATCGTTCATTATTCCATGAATTTTCAATAAAATAATTTTTTTATACCTAGCAAATGGGTATAAAGTTTATTCACAGCAGTAAATTAAATAAAATGAACATAAAAGTTGTTCTATATTATATTTAACAACACTTTTATAAATAGAAAAGCATACTAATGAATTTAACTGTTTTTTGTAGTACAGTAAGTTTTTCAATGTAATTATGATAAATCAATAAAATCTTAATTTTTAAAATTTTTAATTAACATACAGATGTGGTAAAAGAAAATTGTCAAATACTCTATATCACAATATCCTTTATATTTAAAATTGTGGTTATGACATTCATGTTGTGAAATCCATTAACTTATTTTTCAGATTTATCTTGTTTTTATTAATTTTTGAATTATGGTGGGTTGGTTTAGAAAAAAATTAAGATTTCATAGAAATTTATTCAGTTTAATCATAATTTGTACTAATTTGTTTCATATTTCTGTAAAAGTTCCTTTAGAATTAAATATTTTTTGAAGTCAAATCAATATTTAAGTTTTTAGATTTGAAACTTCTTTTTAATGAAAAATAGATGAAACCAAAGAGATGTGACTATATATGAGAATTACATTTGATTATCATTTTAAGTACAAAATTATACAGAAAAAAGAAGAAAATACTAAATGTGCACGAATGAAAATTAATGGGATAATCCATTATCATGCTTATTGTTTCTTTGAATCACATTTTATGATGATAAATACTTATTATTGGATTAAGAACTGGCTATTTTTAAAATACTTTACAATGTTTAATATGGTTTTTCTCAATATAAAAGTTTGACATGTTTGTTCTTGATACTCTTTAGGGTTTTACAATACTCCTGTTATTTTTTTGTCAGTATTATATGAAAAAGCTCATTACCCTAAAATATACTTAATTTGGTTCCTGTTGATCAAGTTGTATGCATTATTGCTTAAATTATATTGATTTTAATTTAAAACAAAGATTTTAATTAATATAAATTTATAATTATTTTGCTCTTTGTTTATTCAGATTATGAAAGAAATTTATTAAAATTAAATTTTAAATTATTTATAGGCTGGTCCAGGTGAATGTGATTCTTTAAGTGATGATCATCGCTCTCTCTGTCGTGATTGCTATGCCAGACGTTCCATAAATGTTCCATTAAGCAGTACAAAAGATCAAGTAATCGGTATGCATCATACAATATCCAGGCCAGATATTACAGGTAGAAAAATAATTGCACCTGCTGGAGATCTTAGAAAAAGCATTCCTCGTCTTCCAAGGAGGACTCCTTCTGCTTCAGCTAAATGGAGTGATAGTCCTTCAGAAATAAGTCCTCATAATAATTTTGATAGTTCTCATGTGTCACATGAACATGGAGTCGAAGTTTCTCCTGTGTGGAAACGGAAATCTCTAGTAAGTTTTTTTATTAGAATTTTTGAAATGACTATTAACTTTAAAACGTCATTCATATTATGATAGTCATTTTCATATTTAATTCAAAAACATGATTACTTTTAAATTAAATATTAAATGTAATTTAATTTGATGAAAATTTTTAAATTTACAATTTTTATTCATAGGTCTTATCTGAGCAAATTGCTTCGGGTAGTAATGAAGACAAACGGTTAAGCAATATTTCAGAAAATAGTGAAGATAGTTTGGAAGGAATGGGTTATTCCAATTCACTTCCAACTGCAGATATGTATTCTCCTCATGGCTATGGAGAACCTGGTGCTCGAATCTCTGGTAGTGAGCTTCATCAATCAGCTTCAGGTTTTAAAGTGAGTTCATTAGAATTAGATCATTGAATTATACTGATAAATTTATATACATCTATGTTTGTTTACATAGAACTGTTAAAATTATTTAACAAGCATATGCTACAGTTAAATAAGCAATTTAAATAACATTTAGCAAACCAGAAAAAATAATTACTTGTAAGTCTTTGTCATTACATTTTAATGACAATATGGAAGGAATTTTAATTTAAAAATGATCATGATTGATTACTTAAATCAGGAATGGGCAATCTTTTTCTAATGTAATAGCTGCATTTCAAAACTTTTGAACTGAGATGGGCCACATACAAGGGGAAAAAATACTGGTAAATCACAATTATTTATTTGTGTATAATTATAAATTAGCATAAGTATACTTAATTTAGCTTCTGGAACTGATGTAAACATAATATATTGAAATTTTTGGTTAAATATTACTCACTGCTAATTTTAAATTAGTTTCAATGTTAGTCTTTTTAGCTGGTTTCTTGTTTTAATTTTTACTAAATTTATTTCAAGAAACACTATTCACATATGTAAGTTGTAGAAAATAACATTTCAATTTTTTGCTGCATACTTTCTTAAGCTGGAAAATTAATATATTTATTCATATTTTATGTGACATGGGCTGCAAAAAGTATTAATGCAGGTCGCAGGTTGCCCATTCCTGACTTAAATCACAATGAAATGATTTAAGTAATTTAAATCATTTCATTGTGATTTAAGTCAAGAATCTGATGAGCATTATCCACTATTTCAGTGCATTGGAATCTTTATTTTAAATGATAAATCTCAGCATGCTATGAGAAAATTGAATCTAAAATTATAAATTTTTAGGTCTCTCATATGAATTTTTTTTAACATAGAATTCTAGTTTTCATGTTTATTGGAATAATATAAAATATATTAAAATAGATATTGTTAAGCATTTTTTAATAATATAAATAATAATGAATCATCACAAGAAAAGAAACAAATATTTAATTGAAATGTGCAATATGTATGAAACTTTGAGTTCTTTTTTTATTTTAAAAATTAGTGTTTTTTAAATTCTCTTGATTATACTGTAATTTGCATTGTTTAAGAAATTTATAAAACTTTTTTTGTATGTCGACCAAATTATCAGATATTTATGAAATCAGAAATTATGGAAATTGGATTATTATTACTATATGAAAAATATAAAATGAGACATTCTGTTGTATTAATACATGCTGACTCTTTTCTTAAATTATTTATACTTTTTGTACAATTTTTAATTCCTATGTAGAATATTGTGTGTGTATTTTTGGAACTGTAAACTTATTGTAAATTTTAAATGAAATGAATGAATGATAAAATATGATAATTAATTTCAGCCAATGACTGATGTGCATCTCATCATAGAACAAATTGAATGCTTGCCACCAAATAATGCACAAAACAGCAAAATAAGCTTTTTATAGCTACTTAATACTACTACATCCAAGCAGTTGTGAAACTTCTGTTTTAAGTCAATAACAAATTGTATATAATTCTGAAGTCATTTCTTATCAGAAGGAAAGAAATTATTGGAAATTTTTAAATTTTTTATTGTTCATAATAAATTACAAAACATTTTAGTGTAATCAATCTATATGTAATTTATTAGACATTGATGATGTGCTACTGATAAAAATCAACTTCATTGTCCTAAATGATTTATTAAAACTACGTATTTTCATAGATAATTGTGGTTATTTTGCTGCTATATAATACTGTAATTATTTAGCTCCATTATATTTATCTGATTTTTATTATTTAATGGACATTGACACAGTAGATTTATGCAGGAGAGAAATATATAACATATGGTGTCCAGATTGAGACTGATAATATTTTAAAATGATACAAGTAAAATAAGATGAGAACTACTATAAAAGTAAGCAGTGGTGATATTCGAAATATTTAACAAAGGGTTCGCTAACAGAAAAGTTTTCCTTAACAATTTTTTTTTCGTTCAAATGGTGCATTAGCACAAAAACTGACCTTAAGATATCCATATAAATAAAAAAGATGCATTCGCAAAATTAAGTCAGTTAAAATTTAACATTGTTTATGCCAGAACTATATTTTTTTTTTATAAATAATAAAAAAGTGTGTTCAAAATGGTTTATTTTGTACATATTTTAATATTTTTCATTCAAAATATTTTATAAACAAAACTTAGCTTTTTTTTTAATCAGAAAAAGTCATAGGAAAAGCAGTTAAACGAGAAAAACTTTTCTAAATCATTTATTTCATCGTTAGGTATTATTATAATAATAGACAGATTCATAGTCTCTCGAAATACAATATCTTTCTTATTTTGCTGTTGATAGCCCAACACGTGCTCCGCAGCCATCTTGTATTTTCTCGCGCATGTGGGATTGTGGGATCTCTCTTATGACTGGATCTAGTTTCGAGAACTCTCGAGTCGATCGTGATTGAACCTCGTTTTAGTCGAGATTGAAACGGTCGATGTGGTTACACTAGGCGAACAGGGTATAAGGCTCTAGTTTAGTAGTGTTACAGAGTATAATACGTATATTTTAATATATGTTTTAAAAGAAACAAAATCACTGAGAAATGTTACGTGTGTTTAACAATGGGTTCGGAAAACTTTGAAAATGTTAACAACGGATTCGGCTGAACCTGTGCGAACCCGCTGAATATCACCACTGAAAGTAAGGTAATCAGTTTGAAATTCACCAGCTTTTATTGCAAAAGTAAATGCAGTTTTGCCTTTTAACTTTACTGTTTTTGACACACAATTATAAAATCTCCATGTGTTCCTCCTGTGCTTGGAGAATATCTAAACGATATTTACAGTAAGACCCTGCTTAACACTTCCTTGATTAATGCTGGTTCAATATAATGTGGTCTGCTTGAAGCCTTAAAAAAAAGCTCAAAATTTATGCTGATTCAAATTATTGTGACATTTCATTGGTTTGTGTTTAGGAATAATCAATCAGCAAAAGGTGGTAATTTGTTGCAGTGCCATACTTTCCTTAAATATATGTTTGTTTGGTGCAATTTTGGAAAAAATATAATATCATGGATGCCATAGGAAATATTGACTTCACTTGGCAAGAATTAACTGATAAATGCATGAACAGAGTGTGGAAGAAGTTATGACTGAAGATATCCAAGAATTCTCAACAAGAATTATCACTATATCGTTAGGTCGACCAAATTGTCAATCTAATCGATACAGCAGGATTAGATGTAAACAAGCAGCGTATTGGGGAGTTACTTCAGATTTCTGGTGAGAGCCTTACCAACGACAACCTTCAAGAAACTGGCAGAACAAAGAATTTATGTAGAACTGGAAAATTGTGACTCTGAAAAATAAAGAATCCCAAAGAATTTCTCTACAGATTTCCTTAGTAAAAGTTTGGTAAGCTAACCGAAATCGTTGATCAAATTGTAACAAATGATCCAGATTTTGAAAGGAGGGCAAAAGCAAGACAAGGCATTATTAAAGTAAAATTTGTTTTTTTGGTGTTAAAGTGACCTAGTTTAACACTTTGTCATCCAAGAACATATCCTCCTGTGTTAAGTGGGGTCTTACTGTAATTTCTTGCCATGTATTCTGCAACATCTGTGATGATGTATGGATGTTAGCAGGAGTGTAGTGATTTGCTTAGCTGCCTGACAAATGGACTTCTGTAGCTTCATTGAAAAGCTTCCATGGTTTGCCTTCACATTATGGTCCAACAATTAGGGTTTCCATCTCTGTGGCCTTTCAACACACTTCCTGTGGACAGGAACTGTTCCTTCCATGCCTTGAGGTTTGTGATGGAGGATCCCTTCCAAACACAACAAAAGTTTCACTGCACTTGTCTCAGCATACCACCAAACAGTTTCTCTCAATCTGATGCCATTTTGACAATTGTGCCTTCAGCACCACAATTACTCTGACACACGACAATTAATTTTACAGAGAACTTACACAGTTGCTCTTCCTCAAGAAATATGTTAAATGCATTTATCTTGATGCAATGAATTTTGTGCACTATAAGTATTTGCACAAACATTTTTATAATGTGACACTATTGAGTCTACATATATTTAAATACATTTGGATCTTGCTTTTAATCATTTCAATTTGTGTCCTCAGAATGGCATCATTAAACAATTTAAAATTGTTTTGATTCATAAAATTCTGCATTTGCATCTATCTAATAGAAACATTTAGTAATCACTGATGCAAATTTGGTTGACACAGTTCATCCAGAAATAGTTAGCTTAGCTATAGAATCTAACATTGTGGAATTTGACAAGTGAACATAAATTAATTTCTGCTTCAAAAACTCATGAAATTAGAAACAAAAGCTTACTGCAAAATAATTTATAATAGCTAACAAAAATATAATTAGGGCTAAATTCTTACACAGTATATTTTAAAACAAATCTCAAATCCTAAGTTTGTTCAAAAAAATCTATTGACATTGTCAAAATCTTGATTTATAAGAATGAAACAAATTCAAAAATGCCGTAGCAGTTGTTATAAGGAAATTTATAGTCCAAAAACAGAAGCAATTCAGTAGAGTTCAGATAAATATTTAAAAAAAAAAAAAAAAAAAAAAGTCATCCCAATCACTGAGCTGAAAAAAATCCATACTAATCTTATAAAGGCTGTTTGTTTATATGTTGAAAATAAATTATTTTTCTGTTTATAAAGTAAACAGAAAAATAACTTATTTCATTCTTTTATTTTATAATTGAAATTGTAAAAAATATATAATTTTTAAAAATAAATCTCTTAAATTGTAGTGCAGTCACAATCTTTGATATTTCAATGATTTCTATGTATAATAATTTTTCTTTTTATAAATGCGTTATATCTGTGTGAATAAGCATATTTCTTGTTGATAATTTTCACTTTGTGTTAGAGAACATTGTCAATTCTGATGAAATTATATCACTGTACTTAATAATCAATAAAGTTTCTTCTTTTCTTTTTATTATTACAAAAAAAAATAAGAAATTTATAAAACTTCCAGTGTATGAAGAGCAGCACTATCTTCCCATGAAAATCAACAGATCATTATTCAAGTAAAGTTAAAGTCAACAATGATTAACAGTTGAGTAGTAGTGAGGAACCAAATACAAAACATATTAGTAAACACATTAAAAGTAAGAGTGAGAAATCCAGTTTATATGAAGTAGTTATGCTTCAAGAAGTTGTAGATATATAGGATTTTTTTCAATATAGAAGACATCTTTAAGAAATCAGACTGGTTTATTTTGTTTTGAACATCTTTAGAAAAATAAATATTTTCATCTTCAAAATGATAATAAATATTTAAGTAACATTCAAATTATATTATACCTAGCTATAGATACTCCTACTTGCATGGTATAGTGAGGGTATGGCCATAGATACTGGTACCAACAATTGATTAGCATTTTTGTTTTTTTAAATTTTATTTATTAAATCAATCATAATTATATGTAATTTGAGAAAAATAGCTTGACTTGTGTATTCAGTAATTGTCTATGTATCATCACGGAGCTTTTTACTTTTTGCCATATGTGAAGGAACTATCATTGTTGTCAATGGGCCACTGTCTGTTTTGCCAAAAAAGTCACTTATTATATTTGGAATCTTTGAGAGGATTGTTTCACATCAACAAAAATCATTTATGAACTTCATATTTGTGAAAATAGATTTTAGACTTCAAAAATACAATGTTAGTGGCATGTTTCTTTCACGCAATTTAATTTTAATTTAATCTTTCCTTTAAGCTAAATTATTTAATTGATGAATTTAGTTTTGATTATAACTTATTATAAGATTTTTTAAATATAAAAATTGAAACTTGGAGATTTTTATCATTTTCACTAGTTTTCTTGCAAAAAAAAAAAAAAAGTTAAAATCATAAGTTATGGACTTACTGTGGTTATATATGAATTCATTTATCTATATTTTATTTATTATATAAATTTATCTAAAAATTTAAGAAAAATGGTGGCAACTTTTGTTTTTTTCATAGTTTTAATACAACTTTTTCTTTATAATTTTTTATTCAGTTCTGCATTTCGTATAAAAGAGTATTGAAGACATTTTAAACACAATAAACTAGTTATAATTGAAATAAATTTTAAGTATATAAGTATATACTACTATCTTTCAAGCTACTAGAGCTGCAGTCAATATAATTGTTTAACTAATCAATTATATTGAATCAATTGTTATAAGAATGTCATAGAAACTGGAAATTTTTTTTTATATTGCTACACTTTTGTTCATACATCCTGATATTGTAGTTAATTGTCTATAAGTTGTTTGTTCTTCATAAGGTCTGATAGTTTAGTCAACTTTTATGAAGGTCATGAGAAATTTTTTGGAATTGACTATCTTTCATTAAATAGCAAACAAATGTAGTAAAGTTTACAATCATAGAGTTGGATGATGATGCATTCTCCACATAACTAAATTGTGTTCTTAACAATTACTTCCTCATTTATCTTAAAAACTTGATATTAGACATTTCATTGCCAATGCAAATGTTTAGAGATTTATCAGTACTTCATTTTTTTAAGCCAGAAACATAGGATCATGGATATGAGATAATAGATAAATGTCTTATCAAATTAGTAAATGATGATGATGATATAGATACCATATTTGTGTTATCTGTCATAGCATATATATCTATTAGTTCAAAATTAAAGTGTTTTTGGCTAAGATATTTTAATTATTCACATATTTGAATTATTAAAATATGTTATAATGAAAAAATAATAATGAAAATTTGATAATTTTTCAGAGTAGTCTGATAATTTGTTGCATTAATTTTCTTTAGGTCTCTGAAATTCAAAGGAAGCGTCAATACCGAGTAGGACTTAATCTTTTTAATAAGAAACCTGAAAGAGGAGTACGATACCTAATTCAACGAGGATTTTTAGAAGCCTCACCTCAAGCTGTTGCAAGATTTCTTGTCTCTCGTAAAGGATTGAGCAAACAAATGATTGGAGAATATCTTGGAAATTTGCAAAATCCTTTCAATATGGCTGTTCTAGAGTGAGTGATACTTCTGATTTTATTATTAAATAGGAAGAAAAAAAATAAAACAAATGACTATGAAATGTAACATTTATTCAGTTTGATATTTTATATCACACAATTTTTATGTAATTCTCTTTTTATTTAAATTTAATTAATTTATTAAGTATTTCATTTGTTATTTTTAATATATATATAATAAATTCTTTAACACAGTGAAAGCATTTCTTCTTCCCAAAATTGAATCATGTATCATATAAACTTCTGTATAGTATTATGCAAAGTTGTCTGCTTTAAAATAATTTTATCATTTCAATATATTAGCTTCATATTAATTATTTATTACATAAGATTTAGCTGCATCATATTCTATGAACTTAAAATTTTGCAATTATGGATATTAATAGATGTAGTTATATCATGTCATACAAATTTATGAAATAAAACTTCCCAATAAAATCAATTCTTAGGTGATTGAACTAATTATGCAAATCTTGATAGCTTAAGATTAAAGGCTGGTATACAAGGTAAGGAAATCCTTTGAGGATTAACCGTGATTTTTTTTCTATCTATCCATTTTTAAATAAAAATAATTCTTTATACGTTAGGAGATATTTTAATAAGTTTTGTAAATTACTATGTTCGATCCAGCCAGTTATATCCGAGTTTTTTTCGTCTGTTAAGCAAATCCTTTGAGGATTTCCTTACCGTGTATACCAGCCTTAACAGACAGTTCAATTATTTAAAAAAAAATTATATTTTAATTACTATGTTCAATCCAGCCAGTTATATCCGAGTTTTTTTCGTCTGTTAAGCATATCCTTTGAGGATTTCCTTACCGTGTATACCAGCCTTTA